TGTGTGATTCTGATTATCAACCTTCCTGTATAGTTGATCCTATGTATTTACATATTGCTTATCTTGGTTGTTATCTTAAATAATTGATAAGGAAATTTCCCTTCCTATTTAAGGCCATGAATACCACCATTTTTTTCCTTATCTTGTTGGGTGTTGATCATATTTTCATATTTCATGGTGAATGATGAAAAAATTGCTGACCGAAGAAAACCAAGAACTTGCTCACTCAAACTATAGGAGGCTGACAGAGTGCTTGACAATTAGACCTGTGTCCCATTCAGTGCAATTTCAGACAGAAAAAAATGACAGGTATTCCATTATGGAATTTGACCATTTTTTATATATAAGCATAAGTAATTGATACATTACTGTACTGTTTTGTGTAACTGATCTCATTAGTGGGTGGAATGCATATGTGGGCCAGTCGCGTAAGGTCCCTAGCATGTCCTAGACACCTATGATCGCAGGTTTGAATCGCAATGTTTCCAGGTTTTTTGGCACAATTCCCATTCTAGTGGGTTTCTCCAGAGTGACCTGGGGCTTTCCTCCCACATAAGACCTAACTTACTCACTCATACAGTTTTATTCTCCTACCCCAATATGGTTCATGTCAGCAACCACTGGATTAACTCCATGTATGAGTGAGAGATAGTTTTGTCCACTTAGTACTGAATATATATATGTATGTGTAGGTGAATCAAGAGATTACATAGGTAAGAGAGAGAGAGAGAGAGAAAGAAAGAAACAGACAGACAGAAATATTTCTTTGAATCAAATATATATAGTATTTCATCACTAAATACACTACAACATGTGTTCCCTAGGTGAGTGAGTGAGTGAGTTTGGTTTTACGCCTCTTTTAGCAATATTCCAGCAATATCAAGGCAGGGGACACCAGAAATGAGCTTCACACATTGTACCAATGTCGGGAATCAAACCCGGGCCATCAGCGTGACGAGCAAACGCTTTAACCACTAGGCTACCTGACCGCCCCTGTTACCTAGGTGATGTGTATAACTGTAAACATCCAGTATACACATCGATCCCAATTGCGTGGATCGATGCTCATGATATTAATCACTGGATTGTCTGGTCCAGACTAGATTATTTACAGACCGCTGTCATATAGCTGGAATATTTCTGAGTGCGGCGTTTAACAACAAACCAACCAACCAACCAACCAACATCCAGTATACAAATGAAACTTTTTTTTCGAGGCAGAACTTTAAAGAACTCACTATGATGTATTTTCTCCCCAACTATTAAGCTTGTCTGCCTTTCTGGATGGAGAGCCTAGAATATATCATTACCATACACTGTTTTCCCTGTCAGTGGGTCCACACAGTAGCATACTTTAACCATCTCCTCCCCCTCTCCCCATCTTCATCTCTGCCAAGTCAGGGTGGAGTAGGTCTTAGTGTGTAATAAAAGACACAGAAAGAAGTATTTTGCTGACGCAAGTCTACCAGCTTCATGGAAGTTGAAATTAGTAGGTCCTAGGCAGGGGTGGGGGGGGGGGGAGAAGTTTTGCCGAAGTGAGTGGGTTGCCCTTGAAGGTCGGCCATGCTCCGGAGGTGTGTATTCCTCCCAGATAAGATTGTAAGATTGTAGATAGTGCACTGGGCCGTTGGTGCAACAGATGTAAAGAGGGCCTGTAATTGGATCAATTGCCACTGACGAGTGATGCACTAGGCATGGGACCTGAAGCTGCTGGAGAAGCTTATTGCGTAATGTGTGTACAAGCTTGCTTGATGGAATGCTCTTGCTCACTTGAGTCAGCCAGGAAGGGTTCAAGTGATCCCTGCATTGCTGCCAACTTCTTTTGTATGTGGATCAGCGATCATGATCCTGCTTCTTTAATAACATGCAGTGTTCAAATTTAATGGGGTCCTAGGTTCCTTGAGATTTGCTGCTATAGTATTTGATTCTAGGACCTCTAAATCTTTAACTTTTAATTTTGGGGTTATGACAAGGACCCCATGACTTTTATCCTTCATTTCGACCACTGATTCAATATTACATACCATATTTCATTAATCCAGAACATTAAATGAGAAGACTTGCACTTTAGCTTGATTTTAGTAGGAACAAAACTAGTTATCCAACAATATTAAAAAGCAACATATGAAATTATAAATCCCTGTACTTAAAAATGTTAACAGAGATAGAACAGAACTATTCATCCACAAATATGATGTATATGTATGTCATTAACCACCTCAAAAATAAGGAAATTTAAAAATAAATAAATTAACAATAGAAATCATTGTTTAAGAGACCTGTTGTGGATTATGTTTTTAGTAATTTCTTTTAAAGAATGACAATATACTGTAGTTTTTTGTATGATTGTACAACATCTAACAGATGTGAAACTCAAAATTGGACATGCTTAATGTTTTAGCTATATAGGACAGCAATGTGAAGCAAATTATATCCTGCAGCAAAGGGATGGCCCAGTAGTTATGGGTTCCCCACTCTCTTCATCTGCCACAAGACTTAAGAACTAGTGTCTGATGGATATAAAAAACACTAAATTGATATCAGCATAGGCAGAGACCACATACCGATATCTCAGTATATGGTCTCTGGTACAGGTTATGGGAAACTTGCTTGGTTTTCCAGCTATGATCCTAGGTTTTCCAGTTATGATCCTAGGTATTCCAGCTATGATCCTAGGTTTTCCAGCTATGATCCTAGGTTTTCCAGTTATGATCCTAGGTTTTCCATCTACGATCCTAGGTTTTCCAGTTATGATCCTAGGTATTCCAGCTATGATCCTAGGTTTTCCAGCTATGATCCTAGGTTTTCCAGTTATGATCCTAGGTTTTCCATCTACGATCCTAGGTTTTCCAGTTATGATCCTAGGTGTTCCATCTACGATCCTAGGTTTTCCAGTTATGATCCTAGGTTTTCCAGCTATGATCCTAGGTTTTCCAGTTATGTTCATAGGTTTTCCATCTACGATCCTAAGTTTTCAAGCTATGATCCTAGTTTTTCCAGCTATGATCCTAGTTTTCAAGCTATGATCCTAGGTTTTCCAGCTACGATCCTAGGTTTTCCAGTTATGATCCTAGTTTTTCCATCTATGATCCTAGTTTTCAAGCTATGATCCTAGGTTTTCCAGCTATGATCCTAAGTTTTCAAGCTATGATCCTAGGTTTTCCAACTATGATCCTAAGTTTTCCAGCACCATACCCTTGGTCTTGGTCTATGACCACAACCACTTTTAGGCTTTCCACTTTCTTCCTGCATAAAGCTGTGACCCAAGTTATACCAGAAATACATATTTCAAAGCAAGCGTAAGGTCACCTCACTCACTCATTGACCGCCTCCATGGTCCGAAGGAACGACTGCTGAGGACAGAAGGTTGGTGGTTCGATCCATGGCCGCATCATACCATAACAAAAAGGTGTTAAAAGATGGTGTTTGGTACAGAAGGGGATATAACAAGGACTGGTCAGCTCAGAATCAGTATACAGTGTCTGAGTAGGGTATCCATGATAAACTGTGGCATTGTATCACGGTGGGCTAGCATTATAAAACCAGCATTAGTCCCGACTAGCTGCCACCTATCTGTCCGCCTGCCCGCAATAACGTACAATAACGCGACGTTAATCCCCATTTCACTCCCCCTCACTTTCGGAAGAAGTCAACTGACACAACATTAATATCAACCCAAAAGTTATGAATAAGATAAGAGGTGACGTCATCACAACTGCATCTGCTTCAAAGCATACAGGGTGATATTATTTAAGTACTATGTTGGCTGTTGTCCACGCTAAGCCATCTGACTGTTCCGTGACAGACCGATTCATCATAGACTAGTTAGAGGTGTTATGGAAGCTGTAAGTAGATGGGAGACCTCCCCATCTTCCCTACATAATGGTCTGGCAGTGACATCAGGTCACCTCATGACATATATACAAACACGACCTGACGGTCACACTGTTGCTTGTTTACCCCATTCTTGGTCTCCTTTAGAAGATGCAGGACATGCTCACTCGTTTCACATCATCGTTTGTTTTTCGTGAGTGATGCTTTTTTGTATTTTTTGCTTCCATTTTGTTTTGCTTATATTTTTTCTGTTATTATTTTTAACATGAATTGTGAAGTGATTATGAATACCCCTTGACAAGTTTAGCGAACAGTGCTTGACTGTATTGAAGTTTCATAATGGTTTACAAGTAGGTTTTTGAATTTGTTATTTTAATAAAGAAAAATATTTTTCCTTATTATTCTTTTTCTGGTGTTATGATGCAAAGATGAGGTCTTCTTTAGGTTTTGAATTAGTAAGTATGGGTTTGTATAGTACTTGTCAAGAATGAGTTCGAAAGCTGGTCTCATCATCTATATTTTGAGAGAGTTATGTCGCTTCGTCCCTGCTTTTCAACTGAGTGCATACTGTGTGAAAGGGGGACAAGACTTATCAGAAACTACTGAAGTTGCATGAATGAAAGTTTGCAGGCTTATCTAAGAGATGCTTGTCAAGGCTCAGTTCGAAAATTGGTGCCATTACTTTTTTATAGAGTTATGACCCTTGATCAATGTTCTTTTTTCTTGGTGCATAGTGTCTGCAATGGAGACAAGTTTACTCAGAAACTATGGAAGTCAGCTTATCGAAAAGATACTTATCAAGACTGAGTTATTTTTTCCAGACAAGGGGCCTTTTTTGTGTATTAATTTCCCATTTGATTGTTTGATTGATGACATAAAGTGGCCCAAGGGCCTTTCTCTTCTTAAGGCTTTATAGTTTTTTTTTATAGTTTATATTCTTTACTATATGAATTTTTATGTGCCCCATGGAGGGTGATAGGGACAATGCTGTTTCTTGTTTATTTTATTTTTGCAATTTTTTGTACTGGTCATTTTGGGAGGTATTTGTGCGAGTTTTCATGTATGTGTCAAATGGTTGATGGCAAGGGTGAAGTTTGTTGTTAACATAAACAGTGTTACGTGTTGAATGTTTTGCACTTATGTAACACGGTGTGGTATTATTGCAGGTTGCTTCTAACCAGGGGACGAGTGCTGGGGCCTGGGTCTGTGGCCTGCAACCAGTGCCCGACCACCGCCGCCGCCACACTCCACGCTCATCACGTCACTGCACACACAAGTACATCACCCTCATCAGGTAAATATATGCTGGAATCTCACACCACATGACCAGGGATTTATCTAGACTCTCCCAGAGGCCGATATTTGTCTGCCAGTCTGCAACAAACATCTGTACAAATTATCAAATTGGAATGCTATTATAGCGATGACTTCTGTTATGGCTTCATAGATTAGGCTTGTATTTCATTGATACGAGGGCGGTCGGGTAGCCTAGTGGTTAAAGCGTTCGCTCGTCACGCTGAAGACCTGGGTTCGATTCCCGACATGGGTACAATGTGTGAAGCCCATTTCTGGTGTCCCCCGCCGTGATATTGCTGGAATATTGCTAAAAGCGGCGTAAAACCATACTCGCTCACTCACTCACTCACTCACACACTCACTCACGGATACTAGGAGCAATAAAGAGGACGACAATTAAATCCTTCAAAGTACACATTAATAATGACTTCACACACTCAAAATAGTTGATATAATGGAAATGCAATTGTTGGCATAAAACAGACAGGATTGGGTGCTTGAATGTTAGTGTGACTGTGTGGGTGCCTGAGTGTTAGTGTGAGTGTGTGGGTGCCAGAGTGTTAGTGTGAGTGTGTGTGTGCCTGAGTGTTAGTGTGAGTGTTTGGGTGCCAGAGTGTTGGTGTGAGTGTGTGGGTGCCTGAGTGTTAGTGTGAGAGTGTGGGTGCCTGAGTGTTAGTGTAAGTGTGTGGGTGCCTGAGTGTTAGTGTAAGTGTGTGGGTGCCTGAGTGTTAGTGTAAGTGTGTGGGTGCCTGAGTGTTAGTGTAAGTGTGTGGGTGCCTGAGTGTTAGTGTGAGTGTGTGGGTGCCTGAGTGTTAGTGTGACTGTGTGGGTGCCTGAGTGTTAGTGTAAGTGTGTGGGTGCCTGAGTGTTAGTGTGACTGTGTGGGTGCCTGAGTGTTGGTGTGAGTGTGTGTGTGCCTGAGTGTTAGTGTGACTGTGTGGGTGCCTGAGTGTTGGTGTGAGTGTGTGGGTGCCTGAGTGTTAGTGTAAGTGTGTGGGTGCCTGAGTGTTGGTGTGACTGTGTGGGTGCCTGAGTGTTAGTGTGAGTGTGTGGGTGCCTGAGTGTTAGTGTAAGTGTGTGGGTGCCTGAGTGTTGGTGTGAGAGTGTGGGTGCCTGAGTGTTAGTGTGAGTGTGTGGGTGCCTGAGTGTTGGTGTGAGAGTGTGGGTGCCTGAGTGTTAGTGTGAGTGTGTGGATGCCTGAGTGTTAGTGTGAGTGTGTGGGTGCCTGAGTGTTAGTGTGAGTGTGTGGGTGCCAGAGTGTTAGTGTGAGTGTGTGGGTGCCTGAGTGTTAGTGTAAGTGTGTGTGTGCCTGAGTGTTAGTGTAAGTGTGTGGATGCCTGAGTGTTAGTGTGAGTGTGTGGGTGCCTGAGTGTTAGTGTGAGTGTGTGTGTGCCTGAGTGTTGGTGTGAGTGTGTGTGTGCCTGAGTGTTAGTGTGAGTGTGTGGGTGCCTGAGAGTTAGTGTGAGTGTGTGGGTGCCTGAGTGTTGGTGTGAGTGTGTGTGTGCCTGAGTGTTGGTGTGAGTGTGTGTGTGCCTGAGTGTTAGTGTGAGTGTGTGTGTGCCTGAGTGTTAGTGTGAGTGTGTGGGTGCCTGAGTGTTAGTGTGAGTGTGTGTGTGCCTGAGTGTTAGTGTGAGAGTGTGGGTGCCTGAGTGTTAGTGTGAGTGTGTGGGTGCCTGAGTGTTAGTGTGAGTGTGTGTGTGCCTGAGTGTTAGTGTGAGTGTGTGGGTGCCTGAGTGTTAGTGCGAGTGTGGGTGCCTGAGTGTTAGTGTGAGTGTGTGGGTGCCTGAGTGTTAGTGCGAGTGTGGGTGCCTCAGTGTTAGTGTGAGTGTGTGGATGCCTGAGTGTTGGTGTGAGTGTGTGGGTGCCTGAGTGTTAGTGTGAGTGTGTGGGTGCCTGAGTGTTAGTGTGAGTGTGTGGGTGCCTGAGTGTTAGTGTGAGTGTGTGGGTGCCTGAGTGTTGATGTGAGTGTGTTGGTGCCTGAGTGTTGGTGTGAGTGTGTGGGTGCCTGAGTGTTGGTGTGAGTGTGTGGGTCCCCCTCCCCCCTCTTGATCCGCCTATGAACCATATTGATTGCTACCCAAGGATCGATTAAGATTTGCTTGATTCGTAAGTACTTTTGATAACTGGGGGAGTTCAGACTGACACGGACACCAACAAAAAAAATACAACTTTTACAATGCTTTTTAACAGGGAATTTATAGCCAAGTCTGTAGCCTGGCAACCAAACACTACTGACCCACCTGGGTTTCCTTCTGAAATTTCCATTCAAATGAAGTTCAGTTGTGTCACTTCAGCTTAAAGACATCTTTGTCCTCCCCCTCCAGCTATAGCTGAAAGTGTTTCACTGAAATATATCATGAATAACATAGGTATATCTTGTTTGTTCCCATGACAGTGAACAAATGAATATCATGACTATCCCAAAGACAAATGCTGCAATAATGGACCAGCAGTATCAGATATAGTTTTCAAATATACCAAGGATACATATATATTCAGTTCATCTTGTTTATCAAGCACTCCAAATATCTGCAAATACCCATCCGAAAAAAATTGGAATACTACCATTTATTGAAAGAGACAGTTAAAACTATTTCATGGTGTTCTCATGAACACCCACATGGAATAGGAGAAAAAAGGTTTCCAATTGGTTTTGTTTTGCTGCAGTGGGAAGCCAGTGAACTCATAAGAGGTGCTTCACTCCACACAGAAATGTAGTGAGCAATCAATTTCCGCTATTCCGATGTTTGCCAGAATCCTTTGACACATGATTCTTCTTCTTAAGAAAATTATCGCAAAGATCTGCTTTTCATCTTGTCTATCTTCAAGTGTTTTTATTATTCCTTTAAGCATTTCTCTCTTAAGCTGACATTTAAAAATCTGACTTAGACTCAAACCGAGGTTGTTCACCTGAATGGTAAAAGAGTGTCAACCTTTTTCATATGGTGCTATAATCTCTGATCTCATAACTGACTGATGGTGTTAGCGTTACATGAGGGTACACATGGGTGTTACACACAGACTTAAAGCCACTCAAAAGTCTGTTCTAAGCGAAATTTCAGTTAAACAATTTCTATAAAGTTTTATGTAAAACGACAATGAAATACTGCATGGCATAAAATAAGAATTTACTTTTTTGCAAATTGAAGAGCTATAAGCATCTAAAAAAAGACTTGTTCTTGGCTTCAGCATATAATGCAGGGGGGGGGATACAGTCGATGCCTCGTCTGTCTGTTCATCTGTAATCATTTCGTTTCTGGAGCGTAACTCAAACACCATTCAGCATTATTCAACAAAAATTAGCAGATACATGTATATCAAACAGGTCCTGAAGTGGTGCCGTTTGCTATTTACAATTTTTTTGTGTTTTATTTTTCTCGATTTCCCTTGAAACACATTTTTTACTTAGTCTCATGAGGGGGTGGATTTCGTTTCCGGAACACAACTCAAAAACCGTTCACTATCTTTCAACTTAACTTGGCAGATATATCAAACAGATCCTGAAGTGGTGCCATTTCTTTTGGGGGATTTTGGGCATTTTTACTTTTCTCAATTTCCATGGAAACAATTTGGACTTAGTCTCTAAAGGTGGGGTGGATTTCTTTTCTAGAACACAACTCAAAAACCGTTCAGTATCTTTCAACGAAACTTGGCAAATATATCACACAGTGGTGCCTTTTTGCTTTGGGGGACTTTTTGGCATTTTTATTTTTCAAAAATTTCCTTTTGAAACAATTTGAATTTAGTCTCAAAAGGGTGGGGGTAGGTGTCATTTCTGTAGCCCAACTTGAAAACTGTGAAAGACTTTTCATCCAAACCTGGTACATATATTAACCAAGGGCTGAAGTGGTGCCTTTTGCTATTAAGGAATTTTTCAAAATTTGTTTTTTTCCTGTTTCCATTGGAACAAGTTAGACATAGAGTTAGGTACTCTCTCTTGAACCTGTGCACACACAAATACCAGGTTGTCAACTGGTGCTTTTGGCTATTTAGGGATTTTTTAAAAAAAATTATGTTTCCATGGCAATAAGTTTGATTTTGACTCTGTTCATTGCGGTGTGTACCTGACATGGAACTACAAAGTTTCCGAAATAGGTTTTGAGTTCTATATTTTCCAAGTTATTCAAGGCCATTTCAAGGTAGTTGAACTCGCATCTTAGCCCTAGGGTTAGAATGTTATTGTGTTAAGGTTTAAGATGCAAACATGTAGAGTTGTTGCCAGATATTGTTTTCATCAAAGCCTGTGTCTGTTGACTGGACTTAGGAAAACAGAATGACAGGTGTAGGTGGCTGATTTCTAACAGGCTGTAATTGGACAACACTAAACATATAACATTCATTGGTCCTTGTTATCACACGAAAACAAATAGTGCACTAAGTGAAGTTTGTTGTGAAGCAAATTGAGCCTCACCAACATTAACGTCAACAGGGCAGTTTGTTACAATTTTATTGCCGGAACAAACGTTTGAAGTTTGGACATGTCTTAATGTGTATTCTCTGTAATAATTACAGATGTCGTGCATGTCCATTCACTTATAACCAGATATGGTGCAGATTTGTACAAACATATTTTTGCTGATCCCTGTTGGCTAAACGTGTTAAGCAAACATTTCATGTCGATGCTTGTGTTTTGCTTCATATTATATTATAAAGGCTGTTTTCTACACCTCTGTTTGCAATGGACATTCATTTTTTTATCTTAACAGTCTTACTAGATGACAGTGTTTTATGCTTCAAAAAGAAAATCTTGAAAGAAAGTATTTTGTCTTTATAAATTTTAATTAAAAATTCGGTTAGTTTGGTAAATAAGAGCAGCTGGTCTGTCATACATTTAGGGCCCACAAAACAAGTCTTTTACTTCCTGTTTACTCCCACCATATGCACCAAGCTCCTCACAGCGATAGTACGTTCCCGGAGCTCTCTATACTATCGCTGCCACCAGTTAAAACTCCCCACTGTGAATAGGTGGCCACAACCATGCTTGGAGTTGAACTCGCA